GGGTGGATTTGGGGGTGGAGAGAGTAGAGAGTTGAAGGTGGAGAAGAGTCGGCGAGGATTGGAGGAGAGGGTCTTGATGATTATAATTTATTGGAATTTTCATGCACAAACATGAAACTCCCCCAATAAATTTATTATAAACCCCCTGCATATTTGTGATAGGCATCCTTAGACCATTTCATTTTAACACACCGATTTGGTGAAGTATTTTCAGTGAACGTAATTTGGCACATTGTAAAAGGTCAAAACTTTTAGCATGTAATTTTGGCACAATAGCATCCTAAAAATGTCTAACAGAATTAATTACAATGATAACACAACATTTATTTTACTTACTTATTTACAAGTAAAAAAGTTATTTACCCAGAACTGTTGTGTGCTGAAATTTTGGTGCCAAAGACAAGCCAATTTTTATAAGCCAAAAACTGTGGGGTTGATTTACTGAAATAGGAGAGTGCAAAATCTGATGCAGGTGTGCATGGTAGCCAATCAGCTTGTAACTTGACAAAAAAAACCTGGAAGATGATTGGTTTCTATGCATAGCTGCATCAGATTTTGCACTCTCCAGTTTTAGTAAAACAACCCCTGTATGTCTTAAATATCACCATTATGTAAATCATACAACAGTGTTTGTTAATTTTTTATATATATATATATATATATATATATATATATATATATATTGCTCCAAAAAATTAAATGAACACTTTTTAATCAGAGTATAGCATCAAGTCCATTAAACTCCCAAGATATTGATCTGGTCAGTTAAGTAGCAGATGGGGTTGTTAATCAGTTTCAGCTGCTTTGGTGTTAATGAAATTAACAACAGGTGCACTAGATGGGCAACAATGAGATGACCCCCAAAACAGGAATGGTTTTACAGGTGGAGGCCACTGATATTTTTTTCCCTACTCAACTTTTCTGACTGTTTTTCACTAGTTTTGTATTTGGCTAGGGTCAGTGTCACTACTGGTAGCATTAAGTGATACCTCGACCCTACAGAGGTTGCACAGGCAGTCCAACTGCTCTGGGATGGCACACCAATACATGACGTTTCCAGAAGGTTTGCTGTGTCTCCCAGTACAGTCTCAAGAGAATGGAGGAGATTTAAGGAGACAGGCAGTTACTCTAGGATATCTGGACAGGGCGGTAGAAGGTCCTTAACCCATCAGCAGGACTGGTATCTGTTCCTTTGTTCAAGGAGGAACAGGACGAGCACTGCCAGAGCCCTACAAAATGACCTCTAGAAGGCCACTGGTGTGATTGTCTTTGACCAAACTATCAGAAACAGACTTCATGATGGCCCAACTTCCTCTAGGGGGCCCTGTGCTCACTGGCATTTGCCATTGAGCACCAGAATTGGCAGGTCAATCACTGGCGCCCTGTGCTTTTCACAGAAGAGAGCAGGTTCACCCTGAGCACATGTGACAGATATGAAAGGGTCTGGAGAAGGGTCTGGAGAAGTCATGGAGAATGTTATAATGCCTGTAACATCATTCAGCATGACTCTTTTGGTGGTGGGTCAGTGATGGTCTGGGGAGGCATATCCATGGAGGGACACAGAGACCTTTACAGGCTAGACCAGCAATGGGCAAACTACGGCCCGCGGGCCGTATACGGCCCGGCGGACCTTTTAATCCAGCCCGCGGAGGGCTCCTCTCACAGTCCGCCCTGAAGACCGGTGTAGCATGAAAATCTGTCTCCTGTGAGGATCTGTCCCCCTCGACGTATCTGCGCATGTGCCGGAGATCGCCGATGCCTGAAACTGGCACATGCGCAGATACGTCGAGGGGGACAGATCCTTATAGGAGACAGATTTTCATGCTACACCGGAACTGTGCGGGACACGGCGAGAGGAACGCGCGGAGCAAAGGTAAGTGAATTGACACAGGGGGGACTTGGGGACTTAATATGGGGAATGAATTACTATAGGGGGGATGAATTACTATGGGGGATGAATTACTATATGGGGGATGAATTACTATATGGGGGGTGAATTACTATAGGGGGGATGAATTAATATGGGGGATGAATTACTATAGGGGGGAGGAATTACTATATGGGGGATGAATTACTATGGGGGATGAATTACTATATGGGGGATGAATTACTATATGGGGGATGAATTACTATATGGGGGATGAATTACTATGGGGGATGAATTACTATAGGGTGGATGAATTACTATAGGGGGGATGAAATACTATATGGGGGATGAATTACTATGGGGGATGAATTACTATGGGGGATGAATTACTCTGGGGGATGAATTACTATAGGGGGGATGAATTACTATAGGGGGATGAATTACTATATGGGGGATGAATTACTATGGGGGATGAATTACTATATGGGGGATGAATTACTATGGGGGATGAATTACTATAGGGGGGATGAATTACTATGGGGGATGAATTACTATATGGGGGGATGAATTACTATGGGGGATGAATTACTATGGGGGATGAATTACTATATGGGGGATGAATTACTATGGGGGATGAATTACTATATGGGGGATGAATTTCTATGGGGAATGAATTACTATGGGGGGTGAATTACTATGGGGGGATGAATTACTATATGGGGGATGAATTACTATATGGGGGATGAATTACTATGGGGGATGAATTACTATATGGGGGATTAATTACTATGCTTACTATGGGGGAATATTACTATACTTACTATGGATGACACATACACATCATTCATCTACTCTTGGTCCGGCCCCCGGGTCCAATATATGAACCCATTGCGGCCCTCAAGTCAAAAAGTTTGCCCACCCCTGGGCTAGACAATGGCACCCTGACTGCCATTAGGTATTGGGATGAAATCCTTGGACCCATTATCAGACCCTATGCTGGTGCAGTGTTTCCTGGGTTCCTACTGCCGGCCTCATATGGCGAGAATATGCAATCAGTTTGCCTTACCTAAATCCAATAAAACACCTCTGGGATATCATGTTTCAGTCTATCCAACACTGCCAGGTTGCACCTCAGACTGTCCAAGATCTGTCCAGGAGCTCAGTGATTCCCTGGTCCAGATCTGGGAGGAAATACCCCAGGACACCATCCGTCATCTCATTAGGAGCATGACCCGATGTTGTCCGGCATGCATGCAAGCACGTGGGGGCCATACAAACTACTGAGTACCATTTTGAGTTGCTGCAATGAAATTTCAGCAAAACGGACTAGCATGCTGCATCATTTTTTTCACTTTGTTTTTCGGGGTGTCTCTGTCTTCAGTCCTCTGTAGGTTGATAATTTTAATTTCCATGAAACGATGGGGCATCTGTACATTCCTAACACATTACCCAGTCCATGTCACTATAGATGATAAAGAATGAGAGTGCAGCGCTAACCCAAATAGCGATTAAACATATGATAGACCACATATGATAGTGGATCAGTAAAATGTCAGTGTAAGTTCATCAGATGTGCTGAAAATGCATACAGTCTCCAATATGTAAAGAACCAAAAGTAGTGACTTTCAGAAATGATAATAGCCAAATAATGCACTAACCAGATAGCGCATATTAAAGCGCATGGAGCATTTAAGACCTGCCCCTGGTGCTCAGCCACTGTATCACTGGAGCCAGGAGATGTCATCTATAGGGTGACCACTAGATGTCATCTATCCGGATGGAAGCTGAGTCCAGCCACTGTATTAGAGGATCAGGCGGATGTCATCTATAGGGCGACCACTAGATGTCATCTGTTCCAGGAGGAGCTGTGTCATGGATCCAGGGATGTCACTTGCAGATGTGTCCTTTGCTAAGCACAGCCCCAGGACCTTCAGAATTACAGGCTCCCCAGAAATAAAGAGCCCGTGGAAAAAGGCCTCAAATAGTGTGATATCGTTTATTAAAGTAGGTAAATAATCAGAAAAGAACTTACTAACAACGGTTCAGCTGCTCATAAACGGCCAGACCAGAGGTACATGTACACAGGATATAAATAGCTTGGCACTTCCCTAGCTATTTATATCCTGTGTACATGTACCTCTGGTCTGGCCGTTTATGAGCAGCTGAACCGTTGTTAGTAAGTTCTTTTCTGATTATTTACCTACTTTAATAAACGATATCACACTATTTGAGGCCTTTTTCCACGGGCTCTTTATTTCTGGGGAGCCTGTAATTCTGAAGGTCCTGGGGCTGTGCTTAGCAAAGGACACATCTGCAAATGACATCCCTGGATCCATGACACAGCTCCTCCTGGAACGGATGACATCTAGTGGTCGCCCTATAGATGACATCCGCCTGATCCTCTAATACAGTGGCTGGACTCAGCTTCCATCCGGATATATGACATCTAGTGGTCACCCTATAGATGACATCTCCTGGCTCCAGTGATACAGTGGCTGAGCACCAGGGGCAGGTCTTAAATGCTCCATGCGCTTTAATATGCGCTATCTGGTTAGTGCATTATTTGGCTATTATCATTTCTGAAAGTCACTACTTTTGGTTCTTTACATATTGGAGACTGTATGCATTTTCAGCACATCTGATGAACTTACACTGACATTTTACTGATCCACTATCATATGTGGTCTATCATATGTTTAATCGCTATTTGGGTTAGCGCTGCACTCTCATTCTTTATCAATTACTTTGGAGGTTCCCGAGGTGCCTTTTTGTGCAAGCAGCTACCGTACTTACACCTATACACTGCGCTCGATTTTATATATAGATTTTATATATAAGTTTATTTTTTTTATTCATGTCACTATAGATATTCAACATGATATTTTTCCCCATTGAGATCTAATGTGTTTTCAAAGTGTTCCTTTAATTTTTTTGAGCAGTGTATATATATATATATATATATATATATATATATATATATATATATAATATATATATATATATTTACAAAATAAATACTATAGGGACAAAATTAGGCTACCAAATACCTGTGTTATCTACATATATATATTTTGAACATTGATTATTCACAGTAAACATGACTTTCTGTTTTTTTTTTTCCTCTGGTAGGTTTATGAGGGGTGACTACCACATTGATGTCTGTATCAACGACTATCTAGATGTATTCTGCCCTCATTATGAGGACTCTGTGCCTGAAGATAAAACTGAACGTTACGTTTTGTTCATGGTGAACTTTGATGGCTACAGCTCCTGTGATCACACATCAAAAGGCTTCAAAAGATGGGAGTGCAATCGACCCCACTCCTCCAATGGACCTCTAAAGTTTTCAGAGAAATTCCAACTCTTCACTCCCTTTTCATTAGGATTTGAATTTAGACCGGGAAGAGAATATTACTATATATGTGAGTATCCTAAAATATTTCTGTATTGAGTACCTAAAGAACCTCCCTCTAAAATTTACATGATGCTTTTATAGTAAATATACAGGTTATATGATATAGCATGCGCTAGGCTCATCATGCTTACATATACAGTACGTGTCCTGTGCACGTGATTGCTTCTGAAAGCTTGCTGTAGGAAAAAGTGAGGTGACTTTTAGTTGACTTAAAATGAATGTTATAAACAGAGTTTGGAGAGTGGCATAACAATTCCCAGACTATGACTCAATTTGTTATGCTAGTTTTTAGGTATGTTGTTTGCTATTTGTTTGCTGTTATACGCACTCTTCTAATTTTACGAACACATACCAGTAGATGAACACCCTATAGAACAATCTCAGATTTAGGTAAAATGTTCTTGGCTTCCACACCCTATTCCTCTATCGAACTCTAAGCTAAAACCCTCACCCAAGGGCTCACTTACCTTTTTCCAATGACAATGGCCTCATCCTTTCAGAAATCTTCCCAAATGGCGTACACTTCTCATTAACTTTTCATAGACTTAAATAAAGCTTTACTCCAATGGTATGGCTTTTTTTCAGTTGATGGGAAGACAGCATTCAGAAAATTCCTGAACAGAGCATATGAATACTGTGGCCGCCACAGTCTTAGAGAGGTAGGTGGGCACCTGGATGGGGAAGGAAATTGGCTTAGAATTGGCTAAAAGGATAGAAAATGGGGACTGTGATTTTTTATTTTAATCTAAACTTGTCCTTTAGTTGTAACATTATTCAAATCTTTCTCAATGCTATAGGTAGTACAATTCTAATGCTCAACCAACAATACAAGCAAACTTTTGTATGTATCTGCTTTCACCTGTACTAAAGGGAATGACTATAGAATTTAAACCTTGCGACTGGAATTGGATGTGAGAATAATGCTTAAATGCTTAAAGGGGATACTTTTTTCTGACTCTTCTCCACAGAAAAAAAATGTATTTTGCTAAAGAGAGATTTGGACTGGCCTTATCCTACTCCAGCTCGCACATTGCTGGTTGGCTTTTGTAACTCTGTTTTCTTCATAAACTGCAGCTCTTGCTAAGGCTTTCAATCACTCTGTCTATCTAGCTATGTAATCTTATCCCATCCTGTGTATACAGTAATGCAGTGCGGGTATATAGTGATGTAACAGCTATTTAAACAGTGCCAGAAAGTAATATTGGCTTTTCACTTTCAGTATGTCTGCAACACTTGAAGTAACATTTTTATAGGAAATATACATTACATTTCTGTAGCATATGGTTTTTGTTCACCGCACTTATAAACAGACTCTTTCCTCCTTAAACTACAGTATAAAAATGGACCATTGAGACAAATCTTTATTAACTGACTGCAAAAACAGTTTAGTAGTAGGAACAACACAAATGTGATTTCACTCCTGTAAATAAAATATGGTTTAGGGGACTCAGGATAGATGTGTTAAAATGTTACAAGCAAATCATTGCAAATATAGATATTAATGAATGCAGCCTCAGCACAATATAACAAACTTCATTAATTAATGTGAAGATAGTTTCTTTGCAGCCAGTTGAGTAAATATTACGGTACTTTTCTGAACATTATTAAAGTAATATAGATACATATTACATACATAAATTATGTAATTGTACATTCCTGCTGCAAATCTAGTGAAAATACTTAAAAAGTGGCCCAAGAAATGTAGTTGCTTATCAATCACTGGAAAAGAGTAGAGCCAAGTCCTTTACTAAACATTCACTAGACTGCTGATGCTCATACCATGATACTCATAAGGTTTTTCATTCAAACTATAGGTGTCTGAGAAAAGTTATAAAACTTTGCATTTTATTTTTATTTCATTTTAATGTGTATTGTTTCAAGGGTTACTTTTTCAAACAATGCATTGTTAACATGTTTCAAGCCTAGTACACACTGTGAGAAAATTGGTTCATTTGATTTTCATGAAGATGAATATCATGATATAACCGACAATAGTATTATTATTATTATACATTATTATTATACAGTATTTATAAAGCGCAGATAGTTCGCTCAGAGCTGTACATTACAAAGGGGGACAGAACATGTGACAGAACAATAACAATACAATGCAAAACATGAGGGGATTGAGGGCCCTGCTCTTTCGAGCTTACAATCTAGGAGGGAGGGGATGGTGGCACAGGAGGAGATAGCTGTGGGGGATGGAGTGGTAGGAAGAGTGGAGGAGGTTGGCAAGTTAGCAGGGGGTGGGGTAGGCTTCCCTGAAGAGATGCGTTTTCAGGGTGCGCCTAAAGGAGAGGAGAGTAGGTGATAATCTGATGGGTTGGGGCAGGGAGTTCCACAGCATGGGTGACACCCTGGAGAAGTCCTGGAGGCGGGCATGGGAGGAGGAGACCAGGGAACTAGAGAGAAGGAGGTCTTGTGAGGAGCGGAGTGTGCGTGCTCGGTGGTATTGCCCCATTGTACCCAGGGCACATGCACTAACCATTCTAAACCAATTACAACTGAACAAAGTTCCTTAACCAATCACATTGGATAAACTAGAATGATGTGTAAAGCATGGTGAGTGCTTTAAACTGTATTTTTCTCTATAAGTGTGCTCCTTGCTGTATTGAAATTTGAAATTAGATGAAAACTTCCCTGGCAGTGGGGCCTCCTGCGCTGCAAGGTTTCAATGCTTGTTTAGTCCAGCAGTAAACTATAACACGGATTACTCACCTATTCCTCACGCCATTGTTGTTCACTTCTACCAGAGGTGGTAGTCCTCAAAGGATAGTCCCTCAACTTCATGTGCAGTGCAGGGCTATTGACCCTGCAAAGTATGTGAGGAGATGAACATGCAACTGGGGTCTGAAGTTCGTAGAGATGCAGCAACTCTGGAATAAAGTATTACAACTTATTTATGTACCCCTAGACTAAACAAGCATTTAAACATTGCAGTGTGGGGGGTACCCACCGCAAGGTTATATTTTACCTAATTCCTGGAGGTGAGTGTTAATGTGTATGTAAAGGTATTTTTTTCTTTTGTTTTAGATAGAGGGTGAAGAGTTAGACCCTCTGCTAGTTTTATTGCTATACATGACCCTGCTGGTGGGATTCACATCCCTATTTGTTCTGGCGACCATTGTCATTTAAGCAGAAAGTGATGGGAAATTCTTCTAATTGGGATCTCCATAAATGTGACATTTCTCTAAGATCAGAATTGGCTAAGGTACAAAGTTGGGCAGATGATTATGTCACAATCTCCACCTAAGCCAATTAGAGGAAGTCTTGTACTCATTCAGAAAATACAAAGTCTCCCATGAATGGCTGAGAAGCACTCAGCTTGACTCAATTTTGTTCCATCATCACATACAATTCAAGATCAATAGTCCTGCATTGTAAGTGAGGATGGTGGGAGCCCCCTGACAACCTAGAGAGAAAAGAGCTGGCTGCCGGTGTATCAAGGAGTTAGATAAGTGTTACAGCCTTTTCCTCCACTCCTATATGTTAACTCTTACAGTCTGGGGGGTGATTGGGGGAGAGTTCAGCTTTAGTTTAGATATTACATGTAATGATGTGCTTTTATTCTACCCTAGTGGCTTAACAAAGTTTTGTTGACAGACTTTATAGGGTATAGGAGAGCAATGCAGCTTGGCCCTTGTTTTCTGAAAGGTATTGCCTCCAGTATTGACCTGAGAACTCTACAATGATATGCAGCATACATGCCTTTCATTACCATGCAGGCGGCCTTTTCATCTCCTTGTCTGACATGACACCAGTGATCCAAAGCATTGTGCAGTTGAAGGACATGAGTTTACTTTACTTGTCACTGCTGCTCCAAGGATGGGTGACATGGTGAAAAGGTTAACTGAGAAGATAATATAAAAATCTAGTCAAGGTGTAGGGTAACTGAACTAACACACTTGATTTTTACTTCTCGGACATAGATAAATACTTTCTGTTGTCCCTGAATAGCTTGTGCTTGAATGTAATTCTTTTAATCAGGAAACCCTGTTTAATAAGGCATAATGTGGCTTTTAATAAACTGCTTAATTGATTGTTATATACTAATATCAAGCTTATTCATAAGGGCATAATGAAGAGAAGCAAGAAATTGTAAAGAGCCTATCAGATATTAGTTTAGAGTAGTTGCAGCAATGATCAACAAAATCTTAATCTGGGAACAAGTACATGATTTGGGGGCAAGCATAGCATAGTAGCACATTATGTGTCATATGGACACACCATTCCTAGTGCATCTGAGCTCTCTCCCTTCTACTGCAGCTGTTACACAGACAGCACAGTATCCAAGGGGTTTTGTAGCTGGATGGGCAAAGACACTAGTTCACCAACCAGATCTGCTCCCCTTTGATTGACAGCAGACAGTGTGCAGATGCATAGCCAATAGACAGCCTGCTATTGGCTACAGAATTTTCCCAGTACCTGTTGTCAATCACAAGGAGAGTGTCACAACTTCCCCATCAGGCTCAGCCCACTGTCAGCATCATTGGTTGATAGGAGCCTGTCGGCTAAGAGGTCAACAGAATCCTTGACGTGTGGAGAGGGGAAGCAGTAGCAGCAGTAAACATGCCACTCAGTGTACAGAAAAAGGCACTCTGCCTTTCTCTGTACACCAAGTTGGAGTTGGTCTTAATTTCCACCACTTAGTTATCTACTACCTGGGGGTAATTAATTTTGAATTTAGTGCAGCCATAGCTCCATTTAAAAAATAAAAAAAACTGTAACTTTTAAGAACTACCTGAATATCACCAAAACTGGTGGCAGGGAGTTTTGATTCGGGTACAGGCTCTTTTAAAGGGGCCATCCTAACAGAAAATTGTCATTAGTGCTTTACTGAATGCCTCTAATGAGTCTACAGATTCACCAAAAGAAAGACTCAAGGGCACAGTGTTATGAAAGTGGGACCTTTACATTTATATCACTTGCCTTTCTATAATCAGTGCAGATTGACCAAATGTCCATAAATATACTTCTTTTACAGGGGAAGTAATATGTTTAAAAAATACAGTAGGAACTTATAAAACATTTCTATA